CTCCAGCCTGGCGCCTGGCGACAGAGCAAGACTCTGTCTCAAAAAAAAAAAAAAAAAAAGAATCTTACGTTCGTTGTGCTTCTTATTATCTTCAATGCTAGAAGCTGGAAGATGGTAGACCATTAAGGGGAAGAGGCAACACCATCCAAGAATCTATAATCAGCTAAGATATCATTTCCCAGGGTGAAAAAGATATTCATGGACCATAGTGCAGAAAACTATGTAATAGTTAAAAAGATTAAGCTAGATCTAACTAACATATGTTGATATTGAATGAATGAAATATTTGATTAAAGTGCTAAGTAAAGACTCTACAGCTAGAAGTGTTTGAAGGGGAGGGGTAATTATATGGGATTGGAGTGAGTAGGGGTGATTAAGTCTTTAAAAAAATTTTTTTTGGCCGGGCACGGTGGCTCAAGCCTGTAATCCCAGCACTTTGGGAGGCCGAGGCAGGTGGATCACAAGGTCAAGAGATCCAGACCATCCTGGTCAACATGGTGAAACTCTGTCTCTACTAAAAATACAAAAAAATTAGCTGGGCATGGTGGCACGTGCCTGTAATCTCAGCTACTCAGGAGGCTGAGGCAGGAGAATTGCCTAAACCCAGAAGGCGGAGGTTGCGGTGAGCCGAGATCACGCCATTGCACTCTAGCCTGGGTAACAAGAGTGAAACTCCGTCTCAAAAAAAAAAAAAAAAAAAAAATTTTTTTTTGAGACAGGGTCTCGCTCTGTTGCCCAGGCTGGAGCGCAGTAGCGGGATCTTGGCTCACCGCAACCTCCACCTTTCAGGCTCAAGTGATCATCCCACCTCAGCCTCCCAAGTAGCTAGAACTACAGCTACTGGGACATGCCACCATGCTCAGCTAATTTTTTTTTAATTTTTAATAGAGACAAGGTTTTGCCATGTTGCCTAGGCTGATCTCAAACTCCTGAGCTTGATCGATTCACCTGCCTTGGCCTCCCAAAGTACTGAGATTACAGGTGTGAGCCATGGTGCCTGAGCACTGATTAAGTCTTCTACGTGTGTTGTCTATGTGGTATGATAGAAAGGGGGAAAAGTATTACTATTTTAGATTATTTATTTATTTTTGGTGAGTGGGGAACAAGTAGATGAGTTACTTACTTTCTTATAACAGATAAATATGTTTGATCTTGTGTGTCAGGAAAGGGAGGCTAACCACTAGTAAAAAGAAAAATAGATACCTCTTCGTTTTTTGAGACAGGGTCTCCACTTTGTCACCCAGGCTAGAGTGCAGTGGTGCAAACATGGTTCACTGCAGTCTCGACCTCCCAGGTTCAAGCGATCCTCCTGCCTCGGCCCTTTAAGTAGCTGGGACTGCAGGCATACACCACTATGCCTGGCTAATTTTTGTATTTTTTATAGAGACAGGGCTTCGTCATGTTGCTCAGGCTGGTCTTAAACTCCTGAGCCTAAGCAGTGCACCCACCTTGACCTCCTAAAGTGTTAGGATTACAGGCATGAGCCACTGTGCCTGGCCTGATACATCTCTTAGTTAATAATAGATAACAATTAGTAAAATAAAGAACATAAAATAAGATTGAAGGAGTAAAATTGAGTATATTATTTGCTATACCCAATATGGACATGTTGCATTTGCTTATTAAGAAACTCAGACTGTCAGTTGCAGTTAAAAAAACAAAACTCATATGTGTTATTTACTAAAATCATACTTAAAGCAGTGATAAAGAAAAGGTAAAGATACAAACAAGCAAAGAGAAAGCACGAGTGGCAGGGTTTTTTGTTTTTTGTGTGTGTGTGTTTGTTTTCTTTTAAGACAGTCTCACTCTGTCACCCAGGCTGGAGTGCAGTGGCATGGTCTTGGCTCACTGCAACCTCTGCCTCTCAGGCTCAAGCGATTCTCATGCCTTGGCCTCCAAAGTAGCTGGGATTACAGGCACATGCCACCACACCTGGCTAATTTATTTGTGTTTTTAGTAGAGACAGGGTTTCACCATGTTGGCTAGGCTGGTCTTGAACTCCTGACCTCAGGTGATCTGCCTGCCTCTGCCTCCCAAAGTGCTGGGATTACAGGTGTGAGCCACCACACCTGGCCCCAAAGTGGCAGTGTTAAGGTACATCAAAAAAGGAGGAAAGCAAGGTTAAAACATTAGACAGGATATTATGAAATTATATACTTCATTGTTTAAGAAGATAGATTAAAAACCTGTAAACCGGACGCAGTGGCTCACGCCTGTAATCTCAGCACTTTGGGAGGCCGAGGCGGGTGGATCACGAGGTCGAGAGATCGAGACCATCCTGGTCAACATGGTGAAACCCCGTCTCTACTAAAAATACAAAAAATTAGCTGGGCATGGTGGCATGTGCCTGTAATCCCAGCTACTCAGGAGGCTGAGGCAAGAGAGTTGCCTGAACCCAGGAGGCGGAGGTTGTGGTGAGCCGAGATCGCGCCATTGCACTGCAGCCTGGGTAACAAGAGCAAAACTCCGTCTCAAAAAATGAAAACAAAAACAAAAACCTGTAGACTCCAAAAATATTTTAGCTTAATAACCTCTAATAGCATTTTCAAAAAAGACAAACATGTATTTGTAGTGGGAAATTTCAAGGGCATTTCTTTCAGAATAGGAGAAATCTAGTATACAGAAAGTGAGTAAATACAGAGGAGTTAAATAATATAATCCACCATCCACAAACTTTATTTGATGGATGTACAGAACTTTATATCCTTCAAACAGGAAATATACATTGTTATATGTGGCCCAAAAAATCCTTCAGAAGAGAGAGTTTGTACTTGCATTACTGAATAAGATTGGAAATAAATAATGAAATAAATAACCAAAAGATTCTTAACTAATTAGAGAGCAGAAATCACACTCCTAGGTAAATTTTGAATCAAAGAGAAAATCAGAACTGAAATGATAAACTAGAAAGCAATGAAAAAGAGAAGACATTACAACAAAACCTGTAGATCGTTATAAAAGTTGTACCCCTTAGAAAATTTATAGCCTAAAATATCTTCATTATTAATGAACAATAAATAAAGGAATTTAGTACTCATGTTGAGAAATTAGGAAAATAACAGCAAAAGAAAGGAAGAGGGAGTTCATAAACTCTGAAATTAATTAAAAATTTATAAACATAAAAATAGGATAAATAGATTTTATTATTTTGGACTTTCTGAAAAATGATTAATGAACCTGATGAAGAAAATATGGCAGAAATACACAAGGAAAGGAATGAGAAGGCCAATTGTGGTAGCTCATATCTGTATGTAATCCCAGCACTTTGGGAGGCCAAGGTAGGTGGATCACTTGAGGCCAAGAGTTCAAGACCAGCCTAGTCAACATGGTGAAATTCCATCTCTACTAAAAACACAAAAATTAGCCAGGCGTGGTGGCAGGCACCTAGCTACTCAAGAGGCTCAGGCAAGAGAGTCGCTTGATCCTGGGAAGCGGAGGTTGCAGTAAGCTGAAATCATACCACTGCACTCCAGCCTGAGCGACAGAGCAAGACTCCATCTACAAAAAAAAAAAAAAAAAAAAAAAAGGGAATGAGAAATGAAATATAGCCATACTGTGAAAGAGAATAAAAGAAATCAGAAGATAATACCATGTGCAACTTTGATAACAAAATGTTTTCAACATTTTATTTTTTTAATGTAATATTTTTGAGACAGGGTCTCACTCTGTCACCAAGGTTGGAGTGCAGTGGCATGATCTCGGTTCACTGCAACCTCCGCCTACCTGGCTCAAGCGATCCTCTCCCCTCACCCTCTTGAATAGTTGGGACTACAAACATGCACCACCACACCCAGCTATTATTTTTTTATTTTTTTGTAGAGACAGAGGTCTCATTATGTTGGCCAGGCTGGTCTTCAACTGGGCTCAAGTGCTCCTCCCACCTCGGCCTCCCAAAGTGCTGGGGATTACAGGTATGAGCCACTGCTCCTGGCCCATACCTTCCTTTTCTAACTTTATTTGGCCACGTTTTTACTGAAGTTCTTTGAGTAATATGGTCGGAAATGATGTATGGGGTGGTGTACTGTTTGTGTCCCTGTTGTTGAGAAATGTAACATTTTTTCCCTTTTTTTTTTGAGACGGAGTCTCACGCCTGTTACCCAGGCTGGAGTGCAATGGCGCGATCTCGGCTCACCGCAGTCTCCGCCTCCTGGGTTCAGGCAATTCTCCTGCCTCAGCCTCCTGAGTAGCTGGGATTACAGGCACACGCCACCATGCCCAGCTAATTTTTTGTATTTTTAGTAGAGACGGGGTTTCACCATGTTGACCAAGATGGTCTCGATCTCTTGATCTCGTGATCCACCCGCCTTGGCTTCCCAAAGTGCTGGGATTACAGGCGTGAGCCACCGCGCCCGGCCTGAATTTTTTCCCTTTTAAACTTGATTGATAGCTTGTCTGGGATCAGAATTTTAAGGTCATAGTTCTCCCTCAGAATTCTGAAAAATTGCTCCTTTGACTTCTAGCAGTTGATGTAGCAGATGAGAGGCCCAATGCCTATTGGAATGTCTTTCACTGGTTCATAACCTGATATTTCTGTCTGGAAACCTAGAGCAGTTTTATTTTGGCAATTCAGAAATTTAACTAGATTAAGTGTCTAGATGTCTAACATTTTTATTCTTCCTGTTCTGACATTACAGATGTTTTAGATATGGAAACTTAGGGATTTCTTAGGGAAACTTTCCTATCTGTTTTATTGCTTTTTCTCAATTCATCTTGAGATACTGTTTTTCAAGATACTGATTTATTACCCAGGTGGGTTTATAATATACTTATAACAATTATAATGTACATATAACAATTGCTGCATTGCCATGTTGGAGGAGTCAAAGTAACTAATAAAGGATATCTGTGATGATATAAGTCTTGAGAAAAGCATTGACAGGCAAAAATAAATAAATATATACATACATGCATAAATTCAATAAGGCATTCATTCGAGTGGTGTTAGAAATGTACATGAGAATTTTCATGACTTTATTTTGGAACTTGTTATTCCTTTTCAGGATCGAAAGTTAACCAAAGCTGAGCAGCAAAGATTCAAGGAAGAAGCAGAGATGTTGAAGGGTCTCCAGCACCCCAATATAGTTCGATTTTATGATTCCTGGGAATCTATATTAAAAGGAAAGAAATGTATCGTATTAGTGACTGAGCTAATGACATCTGGAACCTTAAAGACGTAAGTTGACCCTAATAGTGTCAATGGAGTTTTATTTGGAAATAATTTCCAGGAGACATAACAATTTTTATAAAATAAAACTACTCAGAGAATTTGTAGAATCTGGCTAGTGCAGTGGCCTGTAATCCCAGCACTTTGGGAGGCTGAGGAGGGTGGATCTCTGAAGCCCAGTTGTTCAAGACTAGCCTGGGCAACATGGTGAAACCTTGTCTCTACCAAAAAAATACAAAAATTAGCCAGATGTGGTGGCACACACCTGTAGTCCCAGCTACTCAGGAGGCTCAGGTTAGAGGATGGCTTGAGCCTGGGAAGTGGAGGTTGCAGTGAGCCATGATCATGCCACTGTATTCCAGCCTGGTTGACAAAGCCAGATCCTGTCTCAAGAAAAAAAAAAAAAAAAAAAAAAAAATTGTAGATTTTGAATCTAGTGACTGTTTTAAGTTAGGGTTAAAAAATTCAGATGTTAATGAAGTTTGTTTAAAAAATACAGTGCTGAGAAATCAATATTTGTGGGATATTATAGAATTTTAGAATTAGAAATCATTATAGAAAATATAATTTTATTTTATTATTTTTTGGGACAGGATCTCACTCTGTTACCCAGACTGGAGTGGTCCAGTGGTATGATCATGGCTAACTGCAGCTTTGACCTCGCTGGGCTCAAATGGCCCTCCCACCTCAGGCTCCTGAGTAGCTGGGACCACAAACACACACCAACGTGCCTGGCTAATTTTTTAAAATATTTTTTGAGAGATGGGGTTTCACCATGTTGCCCAGGCTGGTCTCGAACTCCTGGGCTAAAGCAATCTGCCTACCTTGGCCTGCCAAAGTGCTAGGGTTATAGGAATAAGGAATAATGCCCAGCCATAATTTTATTTCATAGAAGATAATATGGAGGGCTTGGTGAAGTTCAAATATCTAGTGAGCAATATATGGTATTCTAATATAGTATTATAGTATATTCTTATAGTATTATATAGTATAACATGTAGTATTATATAGTCTAATACTATAGTATTATAGGCTATCAATAATAGTCTTATTTCTAATCGCAATTATTCATTTGGTGAATAATGACTTGTAAATATTAAATGTGGTTTAATCACTTGTAAATATTCAATATCACATAAACTTTTTATTTCCTAGCATTTCTGTGTATACTAAAATTTTACATAGTTTAACCTTCTCGTGACTTTATATAAGCAGTTACTAGGTATTAGAGAAGGACTTTTTAAAAAATTGTCCTGTCAGTCTACAAAAGGCCACTCTGGAATGATTCTTACTTTAAATGAAAAATGCCACACCTAGCTAGGGGAGGTGGCTGATGCCTGTAATTGTAGCACTTTGGGAGGCCAAGGCAGGCGGATCATCTGAGGTCAGGAGTTCAAGACCAGCCTGGCCCACATGATAAAACCCTGTCTATACTAAAATACAAAAATTAGCTGGGCATGGTGGCGCACCCCCATAGTCCCAGTTACTTGGGAGGCTAAGGCACGAGAGTCACATGAACCTGGAAGGCAGAGGCTGCAGTGAGCCGAGATTGCACCACTGCACTCCAGCCTGGGAGACAGAGTTAGACTTTGTCTCAAAAAAAAAAAAAAAAAAAAAAAAAAAAAGGCTACGGCTTGGTAGGATGTCTTATCTAAAAATGAGGTCTTAGATTTAAAAAAAATTTTTTTTGCCATAACAGATAATAGAAAACAACTCAGTGATGGGAATCATAGTGCATAAGTTGTTTGCTTATGTAATTTACCTTAATAGTATTCATATAATAAGCTGGACATGTTTGTTTACACATGGTCTTTTGTTTCTTTGTATAGGTACTTAAAACGATTTAAAGTCATGAAACCAAAGGTCTTAAGGAGCTGGTGCAGGCAAATTTTAAAGGGGTTGCAGTTCTTGCACACTAGGACTCCTCCTATTATTCACCGGGATCTGAAGTGTGACAATATTTTCATCACGGGACCCACTGGATCTGTGAAGATTGGTGATCTAGGATTAGCCACCTTAATGCGCACATCATTTGCTAAGAGTGTCATTGGTGATTAATGTTTTATAGTTTACTGGTTGGGTAAAGAGAGATTTTTCAATTGTATAGGTCTAGAACAGGGATCAGCCAGGTATGGCTAATAGGATGAATGTGGTTCACTGCCTGTTTTGGTAAATCAAATTTTATTAGGACTGCTTTTGCACCTACAAGTGACAGAGTTGGGTAGTTGTGTGACAGCGACCATACAGACTGCAAAGCCTAAACAATTTACTATCTGGCCTTTAACAGAAAAGTTTGCCAACACTGGGCTTAGACTGAATTTGCTTTGAAATACCTATTATGTATTGGGTTATTTCAGAGACATCCTAATGTATTTTTTTGTGGGATTATATTTATATTTAGGATTATTGAAAGGTTCTGAAGACAAAAGGAAAACAGTTTACTAAGTTCAGAAAAAAGTAAAAAGGATGGAAATAAAAACATATTATTTATCATTACCTAATCTTGAGTATTACAAATTATATGTATTATCAGTATGGAAAATTAAAAAAATCACTTCAGTGCTGTATGTAGATATAGCAAATATTCAACAAATTGAATTATTTATTTATGTATTTATTTATTTATTTATTTATTTGAGACAGAGTCTTGCTCTGTCACCAGGCACCAGGCTGGAGTGCAGTGGCGTGATCTTGGCTCACTGCAACCTCCGCCTCCTGGGTTCAAGCAATTTTCCTGCCTCAGCTTCCTGAGTAACTGGGACTACAGGCACATGCCACCACAACCAGCTAATTTTTGTATTTTAGTAGGGTTTCACCATGTTGTCCAGGATGGTCTCGATCTCTTGACCTCATGATCCACCCACCTTGGCCTCCCAAAGTGCTGAGATTATAGGCGTGAACCACCGCACCTGGCCAACAAATTGTATTCTTAAAAATTTGCGGCTGAGTGCAGTAGCTCAGGCCTGTAATCCCAGCATTTTGGGAAGCCGAGATGGACAAATCACAAAGTCAGGAGTTCAAGACCAACCTGGCCAACATGGTGAAACCCCATCTCTACTAAAAATACAAAAATTAGCTAGGCATGCTGGTGGGCACTTGTAATCCCAGCAGCTGGGGAGACTGAAGCAGGAGAATCGCTTCAACCTGGGAGGTAGAGGTTGCAGTGAGCTAAGATTGTGCCACTGTACTCCAGCCTGGGCAACAGACCAAGTCTCAAAAAAATTTTTTTTTGCTTTGGGGGAGTAGAAATTAACGCAGATAATCCTTATGGGAAAGGGGATATGATCTTGATGGATACATTTTTCTCTTTCATAAAAAATGGTTGTGGTGTTATTTTGTAGGAACTCCTGAATTTATGGCCCCAGAGATGTATGAAGAACACTATGATGAATCCGTAGATGTTTATGCTTTTGGAATGTGTATGCTGGAAATGGCCACATCAGAGTATCCTTATTCTGAGTGTCAGAATGCAGCTCAAATATACCGTAAAGTAACTAGTGTAGGTATAACTTTTTTCCTTTTACTTTATCAGTTACCACATTTCATGTTGAAATTAGTTAAGTTTGACTTAGTGAAAACTAATTTTGGTTTAGCTTTGGGTAACAGTATTAAATTTAACACTTGTAATGCAACAAGCCTTAGATTTGTACTATATAACTATACTTCATTAGAGTCATATAAAGTGCTTTGTATTAATATCTTTGGGAAAATGTATAGCTATATCATCTATATATATTTATTTGTAAGGAATTTTTAGTTATCTATTAGATGGATCTCATTTTTCAAAGCTGAATAATAGAGACTGACTACATGGTTTCTTCTAGGTCTAAAAGCCTTTTTATGAAAGAACATTCAAAATATAGTTCAATAGATACAGTATTTGAAAAAAAAAATACAGTATTTGAGTCCCTGCCATGAGTAAATTTTTGTGTTAGAAATTGTCAGGATTGCAATGATAAGCAAGAAGTATCTGCTACCCTCAAAGAGCTTACATTTCTAATATGGTGTAAATTCACAAATGACTATAAGAGGATGAGACTATAGTAAAGGGCATAAGGAAGGTAGAGGCAAAGTATTATGCTTGTTCAAAGGAGGAGTACTTCATAACCAGTTGGGTGGCTCAAGACAGGCCGTGAAAGATTGTTTCAGGTAGCTTAACAGTAGTAGATACTGGTTTTTAAAATCCTTTTAAAATTAATCTTATTTTTAATTGACTAATTGTTATTGTACACATTTAAGGGGTACCATGTGATGTTTTGAGATACACACACAAATACAATGTGGAATGGTTAAATCAGGCTAATTAACATATCTGTCACCTCGCTTATTATTTTGTGTGGCAAGACATTTGAAATTTACTAAGTTACTTTGAAATTTACTATATATATATATAATTGCATTTTAGGTTCTGGGGTACATGTAAAGAACATGCAGGATTGTTGCATAGGTACATATATGACAATGTGGTTTGCTGCCTCCATCCCCATCACCTATATCTGGCATTTCTCACCATGTTATCCCTCCCCAACTCTCTACCCCCCACTGTCCCTCCCCTAGTCGCCCCAACAGACCTCAGTGTGTGATGCTCCCCTCTTTGTCCATGTGTTCTCATTGTTCAACACCCGCCTATGAGTGAGAACATATGGTGCTTGATTCTCTGTTCCTGTGTCAGTTTGCTGAGAATAATGGTTTCCAGGTTCATCCATGTCCCTACAAAGGACACGAACATATTGTTTTTTGTGGCTGCGTAGTATTCCATGGTGTGTATGTGCCACATTTTCCCTGTCCACCCTATCATCGATGGCATTTGGGTTGGTTCCATGTCTTTGCTATTGTAAACAGTGCTGCATTGAACATACGTGTGCATGTGTGCTTATAATAGAATGATTTCTAATCCTTTGGATATATACCCAGTAATGGTATTGCTGGGTCAAATGGAATTTCTATTTCTAGGTCCTTGAGGAATCGCCATATTGTCTTCCACAATGGTTGAACTAATTTACATTCCCACCAACAGTGTAAAAGTGTTCCTATTTCTCCACATCCTCTTCAGCATCTGTTGTCTCTGGATTTTTTAGTAATTGCCATTCTAACTGGCATGAGATGGTATCTCAATGTGGTTTTGATTGGCATTTCTCTAATGACCAGTGATGATGAGCATTTTTTCATATGTTTGTTGGCCTCAGATAGGTCTTCTTTTGAAAAATGTCTGTTCCTATCCTTTGCCCACTTTCAAATGGGTTTGTTTGTTCTTTTCTTGTAAATCTGTTTTAGTTCTTTGTAGATTTTGGATATAACTCCTTTGTCAGATGGGTACATTGCAAAAATTTTTTCCCATTCTGTTGGTTGCTGGTTCACTCTAATGATTGTTTCTTTTGCTGTGCAGAAGCTGTGGAGTTTAATTAGATCCCATTTGTCTATTTTGGTTTTTGTTGCCAATGCTTTTGGTGTTTTAGTCATGATGTCCTTGCCTATGCCTATGTCCTGAATGGTTTTGCCTAGGTTTTCTTCTAAGGCTTTTATGGTGTTAGGTCTGATGTTTAAGTCTTTAATCCATCTGGAGTTAATTTTAGTGTAAGCTGTCAGGAAGGGGTCCAGTTTCTGCTTTCTGCAGATGGCTAGTCAGTTTTGCCAACACCATTTATTAAACAGGGAATCCTTTCCCCGTTGCTTGTTTTTGTCAGGTTTGTCAAAGATCAGATGACTGTAGATGTGTGGCATTGCCTCCAAGGCCTCTGTTCTGTTCCATTGGGCTATATCTCTGTTTTGGTACCAGTACCATGCTGTTTTGATTACTGTAGCCTTGTAGTATAGTTTGAAATCAGGTAGTGTGATGCCTCCAGCTTTGTTCATTTTGCTTAGAATTGACTTGGCTATGCGGGCTCTCTTTTGGTTCCACATGAAGTTTAAGGTGGCTTTTTCCAGTTTTGTGAAGAAGGTCATTGGTAGCTTGATGGGGATAGCGTTGAATCTATAAATTACTTTGGGCAGTATGGCCATTTTCACGATATTGATTCTTCCTAACCATGAGCATGAAATGTTTCTCCATCTGTTTGTGTCCCCTCTTATTTCGTTGAACAGTGGTTTGTAGTTCTCCTTGAAGAGGTCCTTTATATCCTTTGTTAGTTGTATTCCTAGGTATTTTGTTTCTCTTTGTAGCAATTGTGAGTGGCAGTTCATTCTTGATTTGGCTCTCTTTAAGTCCGTTATTGGTGTATAGGAATGCTTGTGATTTTTGCACATTGATTTTGTATCCTGAGACTTTGCTGAAGTTGCTTATCAGTTTAAGGAGATTTTGGGCTGAGACCATAGGATCTTCTAAATATACAGTCATGTCATCTGCAAATAGAGACAATTTGACTTCCTCTTCCTAATCGAATACTCTTTATTTCTTTTTCTTGCCAGATTGCTCTGGCTAGAACTTCCAATACTATATTTAATAGGAGTGGTGAGAGAAGGCATCCTTGTCTAGTGCCTGATTTCAAAGGGAATGCTTCCAGGTTTTGCCCATTCAGTATGATACTGGCTGTGGGTTTGTCGTAAATAGCTTTTATTATTTTGAAATACGTTCCGTCCATACCTAGTTTCTTGAGAGTTTTTAGCATAAAGGTCTGTTGAATTTTTCAAAGGCCTTCTTTGCATCTATTGAGATAATCATGTGGTTTTTGTCTTTGGTTCTGTTTATGTGGTGGATTACGTTTATAGACTTGCTTATGTTGAACTAGCCTTGCATCCCAGGGATGAAGCCTACTTGATAGTGATGGATAAGCTTTTTGATGTGCTGTTGCAATCGGTTTGCCGGTATTTTATTGAATATTTTTGCATCTGTGTTCATCATGGATATTGGCCTGAAGTTTTCTTTTTTTGTCGAGTCTCTGCCAGGTTTTGATATCAGGATGATGTTGGTCTCATAAAATGATTTGGGAAGGATTCCCACTTTTTGGATTGTTTGGAATAGTTTCAGAAGGAATGGTACCAGCTCCTCTTTGTATGTCTGGTAGAATTCAGCTGTGAATCCGTCTGGACCTGGACTTTTTTTGGTTGGTAGGCTATTAATTGTGACCTCAACTTCAGCCCTTGTTATTGGTCTGTTCGAAATTTCAACTTCTTCCTGGTTTAGGCTTGGGAGGGTGCAAGTGTCCAGGAATTTATCCATTTCTTCCAGGTTTACCGGTTTATGTGCATAGAGTTGTTTGTAGTAATCTCTGATTGTAATTTGTATTTCTGTGGAGTCAGTGGTGATATCCTCTTTATCGTTTTTTATTGCATCTATTTGATTCTTCTCCCTTTTCATTTTTATTAATCTGGCTAGTGGTCTATTTTGTTGATCTTTTCAAAAAACCAGCTCCTGGATTTATTGATTTTTTTGAAGTTTTTTTGTGTGTCTCTATCTCCTTCAGTTCTGCTCTGATCTTAGTTATTTCTTGTCTTCAGGTAGCTTTTGAGTTTTTTTGACCTTGCTCCCCTAGCTCTTTAAATTTTGACAGTAGCGTGTCGATTTTAGATCTTTCCTCGCTTCTCTGGTGGGCATTTATTGCTATAAATTTCCCTCTAGACACTGCTTTAAATGTGTCCCAGAGATTCTGGTACATTGTATCTTCATTCTTGTTGGTTTCGAAAAGCATCTTTGTTTCTCCCTTCATTTCATTGTTTATCCAGTTGACATTCAGGAGCCAGTTGTTCAGTTTCCATGAAGTTGTGTGGTTCTGAGGTAGTTTTTAAATTCTGAGTTCTAATTTGATTGCACTGTGGTCTGAGAGACTGCTTGTTATGATTTCCATTGTTTTGCATTTGCTCAGGAGTGATTTACTTCCATTTATTTGGTCAATTTTAGAGTAGATGCCATGCAGTGCTGAGAAGAATGTATATTCTGTGGATTTGGGGTGGACAGTTCTGTAGATGTCTATTAGGTCTGCTTGGTCCAGATCTGAGTTCAAGTCCTGGATATCCTTGTTAATTTTCTGTTTTGTTGATCTGTTTAATATTGACAGTGGAGTGTTAAAGTCTCCCACTGTTATTGTGTGGGAGTCTAAGTCTCTTGTAGGTCATTAGGAACTTGCTTTATGTATCTGGGTGCTCCTGTATTAGGTGCATATATATTTAGGATCGTTAGCTCTTCTTGATGCATTGATCCTTTACCATTATGTAATGCCCTTCTTTGTCTCTTTTGATCTTTGTTGGTTTAAAGTTCATTTTATCAGAGACTAGGATTGCAACTCCTGCTTTTTTTTGCTCCCCATTTTCTTGATAAATCTTTCTCCATCCCTTTATTTTTACCCTATATGTGTCCTTGCACGTAAGATGAGTTTCTTGAATACAGCACACCAATGGGTTTTGACTTTTTATCCAATTTGTCAGTCTGTGTCTTTCGATTGGGGCATTTAGTCCATTTATATTTAAGGTTAGTATTGTTATGTGTGAATTTGATCCAGCCATTTTGATGCTAGCTGGTTGTTTTACCTGTTAGTTGACAAATTTTCTTCATTGTTTCTATGGTCT